ACGTAATATGACGCTAAAATATGCAGCGGCTACGAATTGTTTCTTTCAAATGGTGATTTTACTGTAGCAAATGGTTGAAAGCAAACTAATCAAGGAAACTTTTCAGCCAAATTAAAGAGGAAAACCTAGTTGCTGCCCGCCATTAGGTGGTTGGTTATTCTTTAAGAAGGATTTTGAGTTAAAAAAATTTCTGCTGGCAAGAACGTGAATTTTGAAAACGTGTGGGCTGATTATATCAGATTTGAAGCTATGAAGTAAGAATGTAGCAAGAGTTGCTGGTCTTGTCAATAGAGTAATGTACAAGCAGTACCATTCGTGTAGTTTAATTTGATATTACGGTTAGCAGCTCAAATAAGTCAGGACTTGTTACAAAGAACATTGTTTAAGTCGACTAAGCAAAAGTCGTATTCAAAACAGTGTCAAAACCGCAGACAGTTGTTTTGGCATGAGTATATGTATGCCTGTTTTATTTAGATGATGAACGATGTCCAGTCAGTTGAAACGTTGATTTCAGAATGAAAATTTATTAATATGCATCGTTTACTATCGAATCGCGCTCTAGAAGGGGAAAGGTTTGCAGTCGAGCACGACGGAGCCGGCGTGCGCGTAAACGCATCTGCAATCAGCGGCGTCATAGTGTTTTATCTATCCTCTGACCGCCGTGCTATGCAGATAAATAGAGGAGTAGTGGAACAGGGAAGTTCATGTACCTCAGGGATGTCGTAGGTACTGATTATGGAAAATGGGAGAATGGGATCGACCAGCGAATCTTGTTGGCCAGCGATGTTCTCACTGAACGGAGTCTTAAAAGTGAGCTTTCTGTTTTCAGGTCGATTTTCGTTCCCCTATTCACCTGTAGTCGTGAGTCGGCGGGATCCAATTGTCTCATAGGCGAATTCACTGAACCATTTGGACTTGCTCCGCTGAAAGTTTTAACACCTAACTGGATCATGTCTTCATCAGTCACAAATGGTGCAGTTCGTTATTCAAAACGCGTCAGGCGTGGCACTTGGTATGGTGGCCAGGTCCTAAATTTAGCCTACTGCATCGACGTTGTTTCGTTGAAGCACATGAGCTTCTGGATGTTGACGGGCTAAAATGTGACGAATTACGTTGATGATGAATATAATGACTATGTTAAATACGTACTTTGGCTCAGCAGAAGTATGGTCATACTGCCCTGAATCACAAAGAAGGCTCTCTCTCTTAGACTGCAGAGGAATCACAAAAGAAGAACTACTTGGAACACTGTTGTACCCTCCAAGGCAACCGATCGTCATCTCATTCATGCAGTCAGCGAGAGCATTGGGACAAGAGAACTTTGACTGGGCAGTGAAATCGAAAACGTCGATAAAGCAGCCAGACAGAGTGACCGGCGAATAATGTTCCACTGATTGCCGCAGGTCCGATAAGCAGGGGATTCGGTCCGTCTTAATCTAAGATTCTGAAGATATCGCACCTGCAAGACTTAATTACATAGTTATTGTTTATAACGAAATTTTAAAAATCCAGGTCTTTCAGCAGTAAATGTCGCACAATTCGTTATGTTCTTTTTTGGCTTTGCAGCATTCTGCTGGACATCGCAGCATAAGCGGTACTGGAGATCTTTTGTAAATTTCTAATCAGACATATGTGCACGTAATCGACTCGCCCATTTGTTTCTTCCAGCTGTCGTTGTATCAGCGAGTCATGAAGCAAATAGGCGCTACCATTTAAAATCTCTTCAATCTCGCCTAGTCAGCGTCATTTGTCTCAGTGATTCCGTAGTCAGGTGATCCATGCTTCTGCCTGTACGGGAGAAACTTTGCACGTGAGAAGAAATTTCACC